GTGGTGGGGTCTTCGTCGGGTCCGAGCCTACCCTAGGGATTTCTCCCTCCGTTGTCAAGGCCAGGATTAAATACTGGTTGACCAGTCAAGTCAATTCCAGGCTCAATGGCAGTAACCGGACTCCGACAGTCCAAGGCCTTTTTAACAGGGCCCCTTGGCAAATCGGGGTCTTCTAGGCTACTAAAACTGAATAGAGAAGCCAGATTAGGAAGATCACCGGTGTCCTTACGGGGCACTGGATGATCAACTATCACCTGCATAACATTGGCCTCGCGGAGAAGTCCACGCGCAGGTTCTGTGGCGGCGAGGCAGATGAAACTACCGAGCATGTGGTTTGTCACTGTGACGCTTTGATCAGAGACATATATCAACTTCTTGGAGACAGATACCTGGAACCGGGGAGGGTGAAGCAACTTAGGCTAAACAATGTCCTATCCTTCATTGAGAGGAACGGGCTCTGAACCCAGTTGCGAAGAAAGGTGGTAGGCACAATGGGCCTCTGGTGTGCCTAAGTGCAAATTTCCGTTCCCTATTATACAAGATGGTGATCGGTGGCACAAACTCGTATAGGATATGGAAGTAGTGAATGTATTTACATATGCTATCCGATTTCGTGATAGTGATCAATTATGTGTACTGTGAACATTGCACTATCCTCATTTGCATTTTCAAAACATTGGAACCAAGTAATAAAGGGCATTTTGGATACAGACAAAAAATATTGAAAAGTATGAAATATTTTACGATTTTTTTGGATCTTGGTAATTCCGTTGGACAATCCAGTTTGATTTTGTAACTTTTGAATAATCTTTGATCCAGTTAACTGCACCTACTTCGCAAAATTCGGGTCTAAATTTCGTTCGCAGTTCTGCATTTTTCTTTGCGTCTTCTTCACTTCACTTCTTTTATAACTTGACACTGTTTGTCAAATATGCTACATTCCGCTAGCAAATCACGAAATCAGATAGGATATGTAAACACATTCACTACTTCCATATCCTATACGAGTTCGTGCAACCGATCACCATCTTGTATAGGGAACGGAAATTTGCTGCCCGGTCGGGCTCCCCTGCGAATAGAATAGAATAGAATGACCCCTGTTCAAAATTTGGTTGTGCGCATTCCATAGGCACTCTCAAGAGCTCGTTGCTGTACCTATTTGTTTACACATTCATTATTCTTCAGGTCGACCCACTTACCCAATGAATAACACATTTGTGTTTTACATATGATGGAGTTAACAATATAACTATTTATAACTAATTTCCAATGCCGCTGATGTTTGCATGAAGTACGAAATCTGTGGATTTTGGTATTGGTATTTTCATATTCATTCTTATTTTTTAATGTCATAATAAATCTTGTTCATTATGTTATGGAATAGTATGTTTGTTATCAACACCTTCCGATAATTGCACGAATTGCGAGATCTGCGAATTTTTAGTGTAAACTTGCCTTGTATTGTACGATATTATATTGATTACCAATACAAAAATATCATTTATTACGAATAACTGCCATTACACCACTGCAAGCATGGAAATGCACACTAATAAAATCTCAGACTCTTAAACCAGTAAAGCACAAATAATACCTGACATTTTCTTACAAACGCATACTCACGAAAGAGTATACGCAAGCCGCAATAAAGCTCAAGTAAAGAAATTGAAAAGAAAAAATAAGCAGGAAGTTGTAAATTCCCGTTTGTTAGCTCTGAACGAGGGCATAAAGTTCAAAGAGGTATGGAAAGAACCAGTAAAACCCAAAATTCCGGTGATAGTAACATTCTATAAAACCCCCAACGCGTTACCCGAAAACACTGCCTAACAATCGTTACAATGAGAAAAAATGTTGATCTATCTTTATCCTACCTCCGAATATTACACGTGTTCGCCTAAGTATGTGTGGAGGTTCATTTATCTAGAAAAAGCTCAATAAACTACGGAAATCAATTTCTTTTACGAGGAAAACTACTTCCATTATAAGGGAACGCTACTCAAGTTGTAAATAGACGTGAGTGCGAAGTTTTGATAATATATGATGCACGACACACCCCTATCGAAAATCTGGTTATACATACTTACATTCGCGATATGCTCGGAAGGATTTAGGGCGCTTAATGTGAAGTAATGTCTGAAACAGTTTTGAGATTTATTACTTCAACATAAATTATTATTTTTTCAGCACCTTATTCACCACTAGTAACGCAATTTAACTTGATAAAGCAAAGGTCCAACAATGAATACTCTTCACCATTTCTGATGCGTTGAAAGTAGTTTAAACATGGTCTTATTACAATTTGAGAATTTTTATTCTACCTATGTTGTAAGGATTCTCTGAGTAGGTGCGAGATAAGACGCACAAATTTAAATTTAAACCTACCTGTAGCGTCTGTAAAGAAGTTTCTTTTTTTAAATTTATAGTTCTGTTTAATGATTAGGTACCATAATGACGATTTAAATGGGTCATTTGAACATCAATTTAATGCAAACAAAGCTAAACACTTTTGCTCTCTAATTTGCTAATATACTGTTGTGTAAACTACGTCATGACCCATGAAGACGCTTTGTTTGGCTTCAGCACGTATAATAACGATGGGTCACCTTTTATGTTGCATTTCAATTATCTGTAACGTTAAATGTGGTTACTATTTGAGAATCCGATCCATTTGAATTCGAGGTTAGTTTGATTTTGTAGCAGAATTATTTTATGTTTAATTGTGTTTAAATAATTGTTTTGTAATTTGTAATTGTAAATTTAAATTACGTGTTTCCAAGATTAGGTTTATTCCTATGTAAGTTCGGTTATCGCTGCGTGGTCCAATTAATTTGAAAATGAGCACGTGTTATCGCCCAAGTAGACAGGTGTGTTTGTTCGACAACGTAATAATTTGATGAGATGGAGATGATTCGAAAAGTTGAAAAGAAAGGGAAATTGTTTTAAATAGCAGAGGAAGACGTTAATCGTGACTTCTCTGGCGATAGACCTTAATCGTTGTTTTGCTTTTTTGTGGACGTTGAAACGTATGCGCTTATTGCTTTGTCTGTTTTGCCGTTTTCGAAGCTTTTGAAAAGATAGTCAGTCTTGTTTAATGGTAAATTTTTGTGGAAGAAGGTTATAGAGACTGTTTAAAGAGATTTAAGTCGTCCTGATAAAAGTGAATGTGCAACTCGGTTTAAAGAAGTTTATCGCTTCTGTGCGAAGCATTTCCCAGTACCAGTTAAAGAATGTTTTTCCACTATCAAAGATCTAATTTTACATCCGTGATTCAAACCAACCCAGTGTCATCTAAATCGAGATTTAAGTGCAATAAAAAAAGTGAACTTCCAAAAGTAACGTCAGTTGGTTGTGTTTATTTGTGCATTCTGTTTGTTAAAAATCGCAGTTACGACCGGATATTTTGGATTATAAACACTTTAAGGTAATTAAGATTTCCCTTGGTTTGGAAAGCTCAACTTTTTGCCATTTAATCGTTTACCATTTCCCCTGGTGTCCCAGATGAAGGTTGCTACATTTATTTACATGGGAGATTTGAGAAAGAGATAAGATACAATTTTGGTTACATAAAAAAAAATTGCCGAGCAAAATTAGATTCTATATCAAACTTAAAAATATCAACTAAAAACTAAAATCTATGATTTGTGCAGTGGCTACTTATCGTTTGGCATGCACTATGTGTTTTGGACGAGAGTAAAATCATCTCATGCGTAATGCACAGAATCTAGGGTACGCTGTGGTCATCACGTGTAACCCATCGCAACCGTAGACGAGCTCCCGTAAGGGTAAACACAGTGATCACTTTAACGGCAAGGGTAGATAAAGTGAAACAAACCATTGTGTATTCTAATTACATCTGCCATTCTTATTAAATATGGGAAGCGGATCATGATATAAAATGAAATTCGTAATCAACCTGCACATATTCCAACAACTGGAATCGATGCAGTAAAATTGACATATGGAATTGATTAACCAGCAGCGAAATTTCAGACGAAGTACGGTACACCTCTTGAAAATTGTGGCCTTCTGTAAAATTATGATTTTTTAATTGATAGGTAACGTATGCAGCGGTACCATATAGATAACGTATGGTATGAACGAGGGTATGAACAACAGTATAGAATTGTAGTTCATTTTTAATATCACTTTTTAACACGAGCCGTCAAATGAATTAATGTCCTGCTATGACGATGGAGCCGACTCAATATCGAAGGTTATTTATAAAAGTAGCTCTTTAAACGCGCAGTCGACAATCGCTATTTCGGGTATCAAACATTTTGTAACATCACAAATTTATACTTGCACAAAACAAATCCGTAAAAGTTAGTAACGTCAAAGTACTTCAGATGTACGATAAGTCAAGGCATCGTTTTCTAAAGCTAATGTGAGTACGTGTCCTCAAAAGTCAATAAATCTGAAAATTTCTTCTAAAAATGGAGGAATTCTAATTCCTCCGAGTGCTTTCATTTGTAAATTTTGTTTTAATGTTGAGGTCAAAATGCGCCCGTTCCATTACAAAAAGGCAACTCAGGCGTCCAAACTTTGAAACGTACAAATTAGGACAGTACGTCCTTAAATAAAGGCGTAAAACTAATTACGTCAAACCTTTTAGGCATTGCCATTTTTTATTTGAAAGACGCGTGTTTAAATGGAGCAGCAAACAACGTTAAAAGGCAGTCACTAGAGGTTTGCTGCGTGAAGCTGGAATAAATTTTTAATTTCTTTCCGTTAAATGAGTACGGTTAGTCGAGTTTCTGAAATGCCAATATGTTTATACCATAAATATCTGCGTAATCAAAATTTAACGGAAACCGTTTAGCTAATACTCATTCTAAAAAACCAATTGCTCCCACCTCTTTTAAAATAATTGCGGATTATAATTCCAGGCAGGAAAAATATACCAAATTTATGCTTATAAAGATTTTTTTTAATTACTTTGTGACTTGCGATTCGCATACTAAGTGGGCTATTACCGAAATATATCACACAGAAAAACAATGAAAATTACACGCATGTTTTAATGTCGTCTCAGGTGTTCCAAAAATAATTACACGTGTCATTACAATAAAAGCTTTGCGGAATATATTAAAAACGTTCAGCTTGAATAATAATTTTCTGGTACATTCTTAACACATTTAAAATGCCATTCTCGTTCTATTTTAAAGGAAACAAAGATTTCCATCTCTTGTAACGTTCCTCGAACAAATTACGTTTCATCTCCAGAGTATCGCCAATCCTGAGGTACTGCTTATTCATTGATGTAAACGGGTCCCAGTGCACATTATCCATTTCATTGGTGGGTTTCCTAAAGTGAAAAGTGGAGTTATATACAGTGTAGTCAAAATATAGTTTACGATTCAGAAATCAAATCAATTCATTTAATAGTAGTTAATTATGTACGTACGTACGTCTGTATGTATGTACGTACGTGCGTTGGCAATGTTCCGAGGTAACGGTTCGATGAAATTTGTTGAAATTTTGGATATGCATAAATGTATAATATACGAGTATATTAAACATACTGAACGAAAAATGACGTTCCGGATTTTTGAGCGCCGAAAATGCATACACTTTTTTGGCAGTGCACATTAGGCATAAAGGATGTAAAACTGCAAACACTTTTTTATAATATATGAGTTTTTAGCGCCGTGACGTTATACAACTGGTTTTTCAAATAGTAGGTAAATCACATTTTCTATTGACGAGCGAAATTTTCCAGTGGTTACCCATGCAAACGTTGCTTGACTGTGACAATAAATGAATTCTTAGTAATAAACACAAACAAAACTAAACAAAATCGTAACTCTAACGTGGAGTCTGAGGTGTTTACGAGACAACGGCCCGTATGAATAAAAGTAAGCAAATGCTTATACTTGCAAAATTCAAAGTAAATACTCGTAAGTGCTCCTTCGCACTAGGCGACTTAGCAGCGCTTCTAAGCAGAAGGACAGGACACAGTGCAGCGCTGCTAAACCATGATAAACAGACCAGTATGAAGGGGCAGTTACGAGTATTTACTTTGAATTTTGCAAGTATAAACATTTGCTTACTTTTATTCATACGGGCCAACGTATCATAAAAAATTATCGACTATCACTAACTAATTAGAATTATTATTTAATAAAGGGTAAACGAGTACTTATAACAATGGAATTCCGAACAAACGAAAGTAAATAACAATTTAACTGCTAATTGTGGCGATTTGGGGTGTAACCGAGGGCGGGTCATTTCTTTTGTGCGCTACGATTATCAATTCCGTAATCTTATATGTCATTCAATGTTACTTAATAAATTTATATACAGGCTGTCCCATTTATCTTGAGACAGTTCGATTGTTGCGAAACTAACTGGAATACCAAAAAGATGAATTATATAATCTTCTTCATAATGATGCCATGTACATTTTCACATAAACCTATACTTTTTATAAAAATAATAAACTGTCGTGCGAAACGTGTTTTCCCTACACTTACTATTTTTTAAGACACTCTTCTACAAGCGCTATTTTTGGTTTGAGCTAGGAAACGGTTCTGTGAGAATTTGGCACATTTTTTGTACTGACAGTCAGTTGACTTGTCAGTTGCATTACTAACACAAAATGTCATAAACGATGCACTAAATTAGATTTAATTACAAATGGGCCTTGTTTTTACCGTAGATTTGAATCAAGACTACGAAACATGAGTATACCTTTCGACATTTTTTTAATTGCAAAATTTTACTTGAACGTTGGGCAGCTCTATACAGTGAATTTTTTTCAAATTCGAACATAGGAGTTTGCATGCAATGTAATTTCCCTATGTTCGATTTAAAAAAAAACACATCAATCTATTGAGTAGTTCAAATGAGTAGTAGATACCATTGGCAGCTATCACATTTTTAAAAATACCGCCGTCAAATTTAAATACGAAATCGGTTAGGTTATCGCTTAGAATGTCAAGAAGGACACTTTGAACATTTATTGTAATTGTTTTCGGTATTTATTTTCTTATTTTCTTCATTTATGTATTATTGAATAGATCAAATTAGTAGAATACCAGGTGCACTACAAATAATTGAAGGTTGGTTCACAATGAGTTGTGGTGTCAGTGCGTGGCCTGTGAGGTCAAGTTATCGTAAGTTTAAGAAACATGTATCCTAAAGTTGCTATGGCCTCACATGGCTTCTTTAAAAAAAATCTTACCGAGTGCTCTTCATCATAAAGACTATAGAGTTGCTGTTCATAGTCACACAAGTTGCGCGATTTGGGAATGTGAACCGCGCACAACTCATAGATTGATGTGTTTTTTTTTATATCGAACATAGGGAAATTACATTGCATGCAAACTCCTATGTTCGCATTTAAAAAAAACTCACTGTATATTTTTGAATAACAAATTTAATAAAATTTAAAACTAATACGCCTATCTTGTTTGCTTTATGTGTGCTTATGTGGGGTGAAGATTATATTTTCCAAAAATTTTGAAAAATTCAAATAATTCGTACACCATTCAGTTTAAACGTATGGTGGCAGTATAGTTACTTCTATTAAGTTAACATTTTGCGTAGATTGAAAAAGTGAATCAAGTTTAGGACATTTAAATAGCGAAGTGTGAGTTAGCTTCTGGTATATCCGAAAGTTGTATTAAATTCAAATAATTTAACAAAAAAAACTCATCGAATAACTTGCGTGTATAATTTTTCAGAAATCTTTTGGACTTAACTTCTCATGATTATTAATAATCCACCGAGCTCGTCGTTGGTCACAATGCATTGATATAACCAAGATACTATGATGTGATAGATACAAAATTATCATCAGAATTTTTACATTAAAATACAGGGTGCCCCAAGGCGAATGATGCCTGTGAAGATCTCAAAAAGGAGAAGGCGGAATATTTTGAAAATATTACAGTATTCTAATATCGATAAGAGGAATTCACCTAAATTGTTTTCAAGTTGGTGCTACTTCCCGTTATAGTGGAAACCAACTTTTCAATGGAACACCCTATATATCTTCTACACACAAATAACCTGTATATATATATACACGGTGTTCAAAAACTAACATTAAAAAAGAATTTAAAAAATTGTTAAAACTGAAACTCCATATTTTTGTAACTGTATTAAGTACAAAAAATAAGTAACTTTGTATAGTCTATTCCAAAAATTGTCAAATTCGAAATATTGGCTATTTAAGATTTTTTCTATTGTAAAGTTTTAAGAATTTTTGTTAGTTGGCTATGCTTTGTCTTATTTGCCTTATTTTTTGTATTTAATAAGAAACGATTAAAAAACAGGGGTTTACATTTAAAGACACTTATGCCCAGTTTCACAAACGATGGTTGAGGTTCCTCAATGATTAAAAATATTAGAATGTTAGCCATCTTTCATGATTATGTTAGGAGTTTACCATTCTGATATTTTTAATCTCTGGTTAGCCTTAATCATCAATTGTGAAATTGGGCATTAGTTTTAACGATTTTTTTAAATTCAATTTTTAATTTTCGATCTTGAAGCCCAATAAGTATTTATTTATAATCAAAATATCCACACACTCCTCTTAAGCGGAAACCAGCCCTAATTAAATAAAAACATCTCTCATGTACACAAAATTGGCAATTATGATTTGAACAGCAAACGTAATTTCTGACATAAAAATTAAAATTTGTCAAAAACGGCTAAATGTAGGTATAGGAAATAAATGCAATAATATATAGGGTAATTCGTCTAAAGTTGACATCAACCTTGGGAATTACCGGAAATACCACCAACTTGTTAGATGAATTCCTCTTATTAGTTATTTACATTGGCATATTATTAAATTATCAAAATATTCCAAAGCCTTCTTTTAGAAATATAGTAGCCGGCATTTGTCGTGGGACATCCTGTACAATGTAGAATGTACATAGTCAATGAAATTAATGAAGTAAATTAAGTAATGACGGTTGCATTTGAACTGACCATTACCACAACAATGTTATCTAAGCTTAGTCCGAAATATGCACACCTGACTAAAAATTACACCACTAACTTTGCAGTAGTTGTATTACGTGTTTGACGGCTAGTCAAATAAATTATGCAATGGATTAAATTTTAATACAGGGCGGTGCATCAAAATGATCAACTATTAATAACTACAGAGAACGGATTGGTCATACCGATTTTTTTTTATTGAAACACGCAATTTTCGAACAACTCACCCAGTAGCTGCAAATTTCGCAAATAGTTTCGTTAATGTCTTTGTAGTTTGGTACTCCGGATAGCTTTCATTGAATTTAGGAAACAAAGGCGAAACATAAAACAAATAAATTAAATCATCATGGTGTACGGGTCCTGAAATGCGACATCAAAGATAAGACACGAAATGGAAAATTTAATTTGTCTGACCTATTGTAACGTCGTTAGAACCAGGAATATAAAAATGGCTATAGCGCCCATGATAATCAAGCAGGTAATAGTAAACGGACTGATTATTTTTATCTGAGAACAACATTGCACCTCTTTGACTACCAAATCCAATTACTCCATCTGCATACAACTACGATGAACCCTTCGTTAGTCCTATAATTTCCGAATAATTGCCTTTATACTTTTCCGATTCCATTTCTCGACGCTGTACTCAAACTTCCTCGCCCTAAATAGAACTCTCTTAAATTTTCGCTGATGGTTTTTGAACGTTCAGTATCCCTTTCGTATAAGAATGCAATTGGAGCTACACGTTCAAATTCCCTATCCATTTCTTCCAGAAGTGTATCATTGCCCACTATAGCTGTAAGAAATAGGAGTTAATTTTTTTTATCACTTGGGCAGCTAACTCACTATACGCCAGGTATGAAAACTCTTCTCTTGTTACACTGAATATCATTGGCACATGTCTAAATCTTCCATTTTGCACAGCAGTAACGGGATCTTCTACTAGAAATCGTTCTTGGCCGAAATCTTTTTCGATTACAGGTTTCCATTTAATGATGGGGTCTGACCTATACTCCTATAAATCGATTGATAAATGTAAAATGTGTGTGAATGGAGGAAAACAGAACAGATATAAGAAACGCTGGGGCACTTCAACTTTCGTTTACAAGCGATCCTGTCTTTTTTAGTTTGCAACATAAGAATTCTTAGTTTACATCTGCTCTGTGTCCCATCCCTCAAATTGAATTTTTGTTGCGCTTACTGAAAATCCCGGTAGAGAATCTCCTAACTCTTTTGCTGTCTTTGTCTTTAGGCAATTAATAATTTTTAAGGAAGTGTCGTCAGGACACCCTACTAGCCGAGCTTGTCTCTGGGCTAAATGGAATTGATGGTCCGGTATTGCCCATTGTGCCAGTGCCGACCCACTCATCGCTATAGCTTTATGGAATAGCCCTAAAAAATTATTAATCTGAGTTAGATACTTAATTGGTAGCTATCCATCTTATAACGACTCAAAACGGGGTGATATTGACTAAGTGGATTGATAAAGACACTAAACCTTCCCCATACCTGAAATGAAATAATTAAAAGAAGTATGGGGAAGGTTTAGTGTCTTTATCAATCCACTTAGATACTTACGGTGCTAAAGATTTCGTCACGCCTATTCAATAGATGCCCTTATATTCGTTTTATCGTCAGCTCTAATTATCTCCAAAATTATGATGAATATCGAAAATAAATATCCGTACCAATAATCTCTGATATTATATTTCCTACAATATCCAATATCGTCTTTTCAAAGCAACCGTAAAGCCGTTTATCCAATGTAAAATTGGATCATTGATTCGACGGACTGTAAATTTTTTTTTCAAAATCCGAAAAGTTTTTTAACAAATGGAATAATTTCCGAAATATAACAAGAAATGTAACTCCATAATTAAATAGACGAATGGAAAGCTCTCGGAAAAACGTAGGTACATAAAAAAAATACGTCCAAATCCGATGAATAGTTCACCAGAAATCAGCTTTTGACGTTGGCGCTGGTCGAGACAACCAAAAATGAGTTTGCAAATCGGGTCGCACCTACTGATTCTTTAAAGCGTTATCTTTTCTTATACTTCTATGTGACCAAAATGAATCATTTTTATTAATCAGAGTGCCAGAGGATTCAGCGGTTTTTTTTACGTACACTTTGTTTCGGAGAGTGAAGTGACAACATCCAGCCCAAACCATAATTTTGACTAGACAAAAACCCGATCGTCATAGGTTTCATAGTAATGGATGCATCGCAAAATTTTCTGAACATTAGAGTCCATTTTAACAGGACAGTGCTGGTTGTTGTTCTTTTTATTATCTTGTGTGTTTGTCAAATTAAATGTATCTATGTATAATTTCACGCAAGTTGTGTGTTAATTCGGACCCTTTATTAACGACCAACAGAGAAGTTTCATGTTCAAAGTACAATTAATTTCATTTGATTCTTGCCCAAAGTTCATTGTATGCGTTAGTCAAAACTTGTTGTAGACCGTTTAGAATTAGAATTTTGATTTTAATTTTGTACCGTAAAAAATGTTTTTATTATACCTGAATCACAATCTCTGTTTTAAACACTTAAATGCGTGCGAAAAAGGGCCTTTAAAACACACGTGCTTTAAAGTTGCTAAGTAACGATACTTCAAGTATGACTTTTGAAACTGTCATCTGGATGAAATAAAAAATCCTCTTAGGTCGCTTTCTGTAAATGCAGAACATTTCTTTGGCTTTTGTACCTATCCTTTGGTTGAAGCTTTCACAAACGCGCGTAATTTAGGGTATGCTTTCAAATCTGTTCCACTTTTTAATCGCAGCATTGCTTTAAAGTTTTGAATGAATGCACCAAAATATAGAAGATTTAAATACCTTTGACATTTCCTTCATATATGCCAGCATTATGGATGCATTTAAGACTGTATTCGTAAGTAACTTCCTATTCATCCATGGAAACAACTTTTCATATTCTTTATAATAGGCTTTGCTGGAGTTGGATTTTACACCTACCAACGTTTGTTTAGATTTTACAACAATCGATTTAATGGACGGTGTATTATCTTTTTCAACGGAAATCGTTTAATTCACAAAGACGATGATTTTTATAAGCAAACGTCAAGTGACATTTCCATGGCAATCGTGAAATTACGAACACCCAGCCCACTTAATTAGACATGTATTCGAGTATAACGTCAATATAACTTCATTGTGTTTCCTATTTTTAAATTATACTGCAGGTATAATAAAAAATACTATAAGATACACGTGTATAATTGATCTTTAAAGCACTTGCAACGTTAAAGGCACTCCGCTTTGCGTCGTGCCCTTAAACTCGTGCGCGTGCTTTAAAGACTTGATCATACACTTGTATCTTAATATACTATTTAAATTCGCGGGTATACCAAAAGCTTAATAAAACATGGAAAACCAGTTTTTTCTGTAAAATGTACAGGAGGGCAGCATATTGCATAAGACTAATTTCCCATGTTAAATCCCTATGTTCCTACTTACCGTGCTCCCGTGCACCACCCGGTATAATACTAGCGTGAAGTTATTTCGCGCATTTAAATGATATTTTAACTTGGCTTCGCCTCGTCTGGCTAGTCTGGCATACTCGCCTCTGTGTAAAATTTAAACTGTGGACCGGATTAGCAAAATTTCGGTGTCACCTCGTATTAAATGCACATTCATCGTCTGATTAGGCCAACCACCACAGGTTAATTTTTATGAGCACGATTGTTCACACAGTCGCTTATATCCGGGATATCAGTAAGTAACGATAAGCGTAAGATTCGACTAACCGAAAATGAAAATACTGGCCCTGAGTCAATTAAAATTAGCAAAATAATTACTCGTACCTTTTGACATAGGGGAAACCATATGTAAAGTTACACTCATTCCACCTGCGCTATAACCGCTTATTGTCACAGAGTTGGGATCACCTCCGAAAGATTCTATGTTTACTTGAATCCATCTCATGGCTGCGACTTGATCTTTTAATCCATTGTTACCTGGAGCCAATGAATCGCCGGTACTCAAAAATCCTATATTAATCATTTCTTTGGTGTGAATAAATTCGTGTCCGATACCTTACCTAAGGATGCAAGCCTGTAGTTTAGCGTAACAAGTACTAGCTCTTGATCTAAAAGATATTCAGGACCTGCGAATTTGCTTGTTCCGTCCACACTATAAAATCCGCCTGCGTGAAAATAAACGAGTACAGGACGCTTTGGATTTCTGCCATGTCTTGGAAGCTGTACACAATCTGTTAGCAAAATCCTACCACATATATTTCAAATCATAACCTTTGTGGTGTAAACATTTAAGAATAGGCAATCTTCATATGTTGGCCAACTGCTTGGCTGAGGGCAGGCATATCCATCTTTAGTTGCATCATACGTAAGATTCCACGGAATAACAGGCCGCGGAGGCTGAAAGAAAAAACTGCATTATTGTAAATAGTAAACTATCAAAAGCATCAATATTTAAAATTATTGCAAGCAGCGTTTTGCGTTTTGCGAACGATTTGTACAATCTACCCACCAGAATTACGCCAAAGGCCACGCCTTTGGTTTCAACATGACGGCGCTCTTCTCAGTCAACCGTACCGGTATAGATCACCGGAACGTTACTTTCTACAATCTATGAGATGGACCAGAAGAAGCGATCAGGTACTGTTGCCACTGAAATCGCCCAATCTTACGCCACTAAATTTTTTTGTATCTTAAGTATCTTAAAAACTTGGTGTATGTGTATGACGGCCAATCAGATCATGGTATTGAATTCTACTCATTCGATTCCAAGAAGATATATGTATAGACTGTGCGTGGCTACAGCTGGTGAGATTTTTAAAAATCTTGTTAGAAGATTGAATCATTAATTGTTACTACAGGTTTGTTATTTGGCCGAAGCGCAGCTCTGTGTTACTAGAAACATTGATGACAAGGACGTCCCCAAATTTCGTGGCATTCTTACCATTTTCGTTGCAGAACTAAGAATTGCAGTGGCATTTTTCAAATTGTTAAACACTAATTTCTAATTCAAAAATTGCAAACGGAAGTTACTCCTAGGTAATCAAAAAAATTACTCGCAATCAATTTCTAGTAAAATGATTTTTTTAATTTATTGTATTCAAGTGGAGATGATTTGTCTTATTGTTTATTAACTGTGCAACTTAATCTTAAATGTACGGCGATCACTTAAGTTTGTATTGAAAATATCATTGGTTGAGTGACAGAGCAGGCAAAGCGATACTCAACAAGTCTTTAGATCAGAAACATATTTTCTTAATATACAGGGTGATAATTTTAAAACTTGCAGTCGGCCATATCTTCCAAACTAAAGAAGATATTGAAAATCGCGTAAAACCGTTTCGGGGGTATCGAGGGGGAACTAGAATGACGTTATGAGTGGCACCCCCCTCCACTTAACCCCCAGCCCCCCCCCCTCTTCAAAAATCCTAAATGGCAACCCCATACTTGTGACACATCGTTGGAAAGCTACTGAAAAATACTTTCCAGTGGTACCAATAAAGTCAATATTCATTAAGACAATTTAACAAAAATTTGATAATTACCAAAAAAAACTAAATGTTAACATTGAGAGATTAATGGCAAATTGGCCAAGAACTGCAACCTGAGCTGGTTCATTAAGCAACCAAGATTGCTTAATGAAGCTGCTCAAGATAAAAATCACTACCTAGGTATACAGGGTGGTGACTTGCGTAACGCATCATAGGAATTTCAATGTAAAATTCATAACATGCGATTATTGGCTCCCCAAATTATTTTAGAGCAAAAATGTATTAAGGTTTTTTGTAGAAAACAATTTTTTACGTCAATCAACCGTATTAGTTTTCCATTTTTGCATAATAAAGACGGAAAAATAAAACCCCCATCTTTTTCAATAATCTGTGATGCCATGGAATTTTCTAAAACAAAAAGATATTCAGTTATCAATTAGCAGCAGTTCGAAATAGATTTTATGATCGACTTGGTTACTGTCTTGCAGTTAATGGTGACATTTGAGCATTTATTATAAATTGTTATATTAGGAAACCGTTTTTAGTAATTTGGTCTTTCTTTATGTTGAATTCGCTGTTATAAATAACGGGTGATCAAATACGAAGTACTTTTTCCAATAGGGATTTTAAAACACTTTAATCAAGATCGCTGTCATGTGCATGTGTGTTTTTTGTTCATTATTAGTTGACATTTCACTATGAATAGACTTACAGCAGAACAACGATTACAAATCGTGGAAATTTATTTCCAAAATCAGTGTTCAGTGAGAAATGTTTTTCGTGCTCTTCGACCATTTTATGGTGCTCATAATCGCCCAACTGAACGCAAAATGAAAAAATTGTTGCCAAAAAATTCAAGATATTGATGTAGCCGACTTATGGTTTCAACAAGATTGTGCGACGTGCCACACAGCACACGAAACCATCGATTTATTGAAAGAAACTTTTGATGAGACATCATATCAAGAAATGGAGCAGTGAATTGGCCACCAAGATCATGTGATCAAACGCCGTTAGATTACTTTTTATGGGGTTATCTCAAATCACTTATTTATGCCGATAAACCACAAACTATGCGAGAAAGAGCCCTTGAAAACTGGACCCATAGAATGGACCATTTACGAGTCAGTCACGGTCAGCATTTAAATCAAATTATTTTTAAACATTAATGTCATGTACCGAACTTACGTATCAAATAGAATTTTTGGTTATTAAATTGAATTTAATGCATTTTATTTCAAAAATACTTTCGGAAGCTCTTATTTGATCACCCTTTATAATACTTTTTGATAGAATTTGATTTGTTTTATAGCAGACATTCCATGGCATGACGGATATTGGCGTAGTTTTTGTATTATAAAATTCCATGGCATCACAGATTATTGAAAAAGATGCGGGTTTATTTTTCCAATTTTCCGTCTTTATTATGCAAAAAATTTAAAACTAATACCCTTAATGACGTAAAAAATTGTTTTCTACAAAAAACCTTAATACATTTTTGCTCTAAAATAATTTGGGGAGCAAATAATCGCATGTTATGAATTTTACATTGAAATCCCTATGATGCGCTACGCAAGTCACCAGCCTGTATGTATAGTTTTCATAGCTACTACAGTTTTCGAGAAATAGTACATTTTCATTTGCTTAATGGAAGGCGTATTTAATATCATCATGGTTAATTAAACTATTTTTCGCTCTTTTCAACAATCTAGAAGTTGTTCCAACCTTTTTGAGTTATATGCTAAAAATTGTAGTAGATATGAAAATTATTTCTACGTCAGCGAAATTGATTTCTACGCAAAAATTCACAAAACCTATACAACGAGGCAACTGAAGATCTGATGGATATGAATGTGAAATGTGAATACATATGTGTTTTTCCTGAATTTCTTTGGAATTTTGCCCAGAGAAACATTTTATAGGTATCTATAGGATTTTATCATTGCCTCATACTACACACCACAAAACAACATTTCACATTATTTGAAAACACAACAATATGAAGAACCCTTAAGACGGTTCGTCGTATTTACAATAATTACTATTTTATTAAAGCGCTTTCCAAACATTTATTTTGCAACATTATATCAATAAATTACCAGTTCAACATTTTTATAGAACAAAAAGAATGAAAAGAATACTTTATTCGCCTACATCAAGTACCATTCAATTTATTTTCAAGTATATTTTCTAGAGCCCTTCATCTTACTTACACTTTCCATGGTGCTTTTATAAAAGTGCAGTGTATAGAACGAAATTACATTTCACCGTAACCTCTCAGACATCCAATTTTTATGTCTGCTTCAAACATAATGAGAAAATAAATGCAGCAGGTTCGAGAAACTCGTTAGAATTAATCTTTCTGGCTGATTCCGATGCACGTATCTAGATTTTCAAACCAGTGGTTCATATTGTGTCAAGAAAAATTTGCCTGTTGATAATTGTAATTAGGTAGATGCCAGAAGGATTACTTTACGCGTTTTCGGCGATAATTGCATATCAGTATTCAGGCCCGGCCCGACACAAGGCGAATAGGAATGGGTAAAATAATAGACAAGTTAAAGTAGCAGTTGAAGCGGTTAAAGTTTACTCAAACATTCAACGAAATTTTAACTGAACACTTCGGTATTAAAACCACCAAGGCGAAACACAGAAGAGAGGAAAAATGCCATTTTTCAAGAGCAACAAGACGCCATTGACATTTTTATCGGCCCTCCAAATGACTTTCGAACAACGTTGCCAAACTTCTCAGCATGGCTTGCAAATATAGACCACAGAATACGGCCTTCTCAGAATAGAAACAGCAATGTTACAAATTTGTATGGTATTTTGGCGGACCCTGGTGGGTGTACTGTGAACTAAAGCATCAAAATCAGAGTAGCGCCATCTGGTGACCAGCTTCTAAATCCATGAAGTAATTTCCCCAATTCGATCTAAATCACAAATATAGATAAAGAATACACAGTTGTTAAATAGCAAGTGTATTTAGATACAATCACATTACATTATTTTTAACACAGACATCTTAAATTACATGATTACAAATTACATATAAAACTCAGAAGTAAGTGCAACTTACGCTTTGTAGAAGTTAACACTTTGCAAAAAGATCCTTACGTAACGAGTTGTCCTACGAAATATTTGGTTTTAATTGCTGTTTGGACTACATATTTTTGTTAAAAAATATCTTTAGAACTAAATTTTTTGTTCCAAGAAGTGATAAAACGGTTTCAGCAAATAGTCACACAAGTTTTTGACAACAAATGTTAACTTGATCCTGGTGCTTACTGGTTACTTGAGAAGCGAGGGTGGAAGTTGTTGAATTATCTAAAACGAATTACAATATAAGTATCTACATCTATATAAATATAAAACTCAAGTCTACACCCTTTTGCGCCTATAGGTACAGTTGGTAATAATTCTGCGTCAATTTGTACCTGTTACTTACCTTGCATAAATAGGAAAGAAATAACAACACATTTCAACCCTCTTCGCGTTTCAAGCACAAAACAATCTGTTTCAAAATGTGGAAAACGATGCCTTTTTGATATTTTATTGTTACAATCCGCCACACAACACTTTTTACGGTCACGTAACTTGTTCATATTTTAAATCTTTCAAAAGTCAAAATTGACATGTGTAAAACCTGTGTACGTATAAAATCGACGGTAAAAATATTTCCTGTAACGAGCAAAATTACAGGTTTTGCAAAAAAATATTCGAGTCTGCGATAAATAGTTCTCCATACAACCACGGGAAACGCTGTAATCAGTGAAAATTTAGCGCCATTTATGTTTCTGTTCTGTGAAGGTCTTATTCTGTGATATAGACGGCTGTGCTTACCCGAACCTTCATGTCACCTCACCCGTTACTCCAAAAAGAGAGAACGCAAGCACCGGCGCAATGTGCTGTAACACCGTCACCAGAATCGGCGAAGCGTCACCTCGGCGTTAACCATTGAGTTAGAAAACTAATATAGGGAATCGAATGCTTGGTCAGACGTAGACCACGGGAACCAAAAGTCACCTCTGGCTTTGATTAAAGTACCACACCACTTCCGTTATCATTAGCGTCTCACTTCAGTGGCGTAGACATATAATTTTCTTTGCACTAATAGGAATAATAACAAAAAAAACGTATAGAAGGAGTAAAATACATGCTCGTGGTAAAGTAAACAAAATAGACAAGGATGGGAAAGTATGCAGATTTAATTCATTGATTACAAATCTAAATATACATCGATGTGTTCCAGTAGTATAATTAAGGCCAGTTTACTATAGCCACTACAACTTGATAAAGCCGGATTTATAGTTCCGTAGCCGTAAGAACGTAATAACCATTGAGTTAGAATTGAGGGAATCAAATGCTTGGCCAGACGTAGACCACGGGAACCAAAAGTGGCCTCTAACTGTGATTAAAGTACCACACCACTTCCGTTATCATTAGCGTCTCACTTCAGTGGCGTAGAGATATAATTTTCTTTCCACTAATAGGAATAATAACAAAAAAAACGTACAGAAGGAGTAAAATACATGCTCGTGGTAAAGTAAACAAAATAGACAAGGATGGGAAAGTATGCAGATTTAATATAATCATTGATTAGAAATCTAAATATACATCGATGTGTTCCATTAGTATAATTAAGGCCAGTTTACTATAGCCACTACAACTTGACAACTCCCATTAAATTCACTGTGTTGATCAATAGCTACAATTGATTGGTTGGTCTCAGGTTCATTACAAGTTTTGATAGTAGATACCTACTGCATATTTGACGAGATATTTGATGAACATTTTCCGGTGCAACCTTTGGTCGAAATCACAGTCAATGAAGCGTTGTGAGCACAAAAGTAAATTTCGAGAGCTGTTCTTGAGTACTGGTTCGTTTGGAAAACTAAGAAACATAAACTATAGGTACCTACCTACAACCTCGCCTACAACATGATAAATGACATGTCTTACCGATGAAAGGAAATGCCCTGTTTCTTCCCTTTATGAGAAATTTTGCATGATACGCAGCTAATCATTCTCAATTCACAAAATTGCGTGTGATGAAAACACTATGAGGCAGTTAGTCATTTATATAAACCAGAGCACAAACCGATCCGAAATTATTAGGTAAAAAAATGGTAAATTTATTAAAATTTGAATTTGGTGGAAAACTGACAGTGACAGGACCCGCGTTTTCATATGTCAAATAATGTCGGCCAAAATGTACCTTCACGGGAACCTATCCACGCGAGTGGCCTCTATCTGTGGCAACTTCCGTCTACAAAAATTCTTACCCCCTCTACCATTATATTCCCTCCATTAGTTTTCTATCTCAATGAATGGAACACATCGATGTATATTTAGATTTGTAATCAATGATTATATTAAATCTGCATACTTTCCCATCCTTGTCTATTTTGTTTACTTTACCACGAGCATGTATTTTACTCCTTCTATACGTTTTTTTTGTTATTATTCCTATTAGTGGAAAGAAAATTATATCTCTACGCCACTGAAGTGAGACGCTAATGATAACGGAAGTGGTGTGGTACTTTAATCACAGTTAGAGGCCACTTTTGGTTCCCGTGGTCTTCTCTTATATATATGCTGGCCAAGCATTTGATTCCCTCCATTAGTTTTCTAACTCAATGACGCCAAAGCAAGTTTAGTTGTTTCAGTTGTTTACTGTTTGTTTGACAAAACACGTGTTTTGTGGTTTGGTTCAAGTTCATAGAAGACATACTTTGTATTATAGTTAAACAGCCATTGCATGATGTGTTGCCTAAAATTTGAACACAAAACCCTTTATAAGAGCACCGTATTAAAGTTACTTTTCATTTAGCTAAAACGTCTTAACTTTAGCACCCTGTATAAGGTTGCACACGGTATACCATTATACAACATCATTGTGCCATTTTTCCATGAAAGTTTTACCATAATTGCTTTTAGGTAGGTTGGCAACACTGATCGAGCCATAAGTTAATCGAACGCAACGACTGGTCTAGACCACTCGTTGCGTGAAAGTCATGCGCAGTAGCAGCTACAGGACGAATCTTGCAGGGGTTATTCAGTGCCCTAACCTATACATTCACATATTTTCTGTGAAATAAAACATGGAATTGTTCGAGGATTTTCTGGTTATTAATAACAGTATCCATAATCCAAAAACAAAACAAAATACAAAACTGACAAATGACAGTTCAATTCTTGTCTGTGATTGGTTAGCGCATAAAGTATTGTCCACGATTCGGGTATGCAGCTAAACTTGAACTTATCCCTATCGTATACGATCATGACGTCATGGCAGCCGGTCTCATCACATGCACATCACGGAGCATATCGACTAACTTCGGGAATCGATAGGACGGTATATGTTGACGTTTGCCACAGACCCAAAAACTTTAATTTTAAATTTATTACACATTTATACTTCGTGTGGAATAATGGAGCAGACTTAGCTATTAGAAGTTATTCTTGGGTAGGTACATAATTTTGGACAATTCTTTAGTAGATAGGGACAAGATGATGTGTAGACGAGAGAATAATATTTTCATTAAATAGATAAATCGATGATTCCTAAACTTGTTGAATTTCTCGGAACCAAATTGTCAAATAGTATCAAATGTCAAAAGCGGTTTAAGCCCTTGCACTATTCCTCTCTGAAGCAACACTATCCTTTTATGAAGGAATTCCTTATTTTTTGCGGTAAATGTTATAAGAGCGATCTTGTCCTTATTGAACTTTCAAATTTTCAATAGTCAATGTGGTAAATACTTTTCACGCCCCAACAAATGAGATGGTGCTGGCCATTTGATCAATGTTCATTTTTTCCTACGAGTAACAATAAAAGGAGAGAACCTTGCATTAAAAGGGGACAAGACGGAAATGGAGAAAAAGGAAGTTAGAAGATGAGAAACGCGCCATTATTGGCAATGGTGTAATAAAACAAAATTGACATAGTCTCTTCTGTTTTATGATAAGTCAAGTCGACATAACTGACCAGCGCACAGGAAGTGATATGATGACGACTTCCGTCGCGTGTTATGCTATTTCCCACCACCGTTGTATTCTCTCCTCTTATTTTTACTCGTAGATTTTTCCTTCATTGCATAGATAAACAAATTTGATGGTGACCCTGTATTATTAAAAATATTCTGTGGCAGTAACTGTTGTCGGCCTGTTTTTGTTACCAACTAAAAACTTCAAATATAGTTAACGGTTTACAAGAAAAGATAAACTGGTTTAGAAGATTCGATTGTTAATAAATACAAATCATCTTTTGCGTGAACATTGTGCAGTGTTTAGTCAGTACCAGGCTCTTGTTCTGTGTTCCCTAAAATATCTTAGTGTTGTACTATCGCCAAATATACGATAATACCTTGAAATGGAGGGTTTTAGTATTATAACAAAAAACATATCCTACATTAGAGCAAGAGATCCAAGTATTCAATTACATTACAATGTAGCAAATATTCGAAGAAATTTAGTGTCACAACTTGCTACAGTCGATAACAGTGTTCAATCTACTGAGGAAGAAGAAGAGGAAGATGTAAGTTTATTGTACCAACTTTTATAATGCTTAAAAGTTATTTGCAGGTTCACCATTACCAGGTTTATCTCAGAATTAAGAATAATAAAGACAACTCTGACCTATACGGTGTAAAAGACTCCAGTACACTTTTCTGTAACATCCCAGATGGAGCACAATGTATTAGAAATATTCGTGAAAACATAACAAAAACCTTTAAATTTTCAAAAATAATTGAGCCAACATGTACCCAAACAGAACTCTTTAACAGCATTGTTAAGCAAAAAATATTGTCGTTTATAAATGGCTTTAATTGTACGCTAATGTCATACGGTGCTTCTGGATCAGGTAAATTCAAGTGTAACCAATCTGTTGGATAAGTTAGGTTTTTCTGTAGGCAAGACTTTCACTATGGTTGGAACCACCAATGATCCAGGAATTATTCCTCGTTCACTGGAGTACCTTTTTAGAACATTGCCCAAGTTACCTGAAATGCCTCATATGAAACCGACCATTTCTGGTGAAGTTGTTGCTATGAACGAGAGCGCCTGTTTAAAAGATAAAGCTACCCGAAATTTGATTTTAAGTGGACATCAGATTAATATGGACCATTTGCATCATGTTCAAACTTACAAGTAAGTATTTATGTGTACAAGACACGCAATGTTCCACTCATAACTGGAATAATTATTTGATTGAATATTGCTATTGCATTTTAAATCTTATTTCAAACCTTAAACTATACAGCACATGGACCGCAATTTACCCTATGGTTCCTGTTAATATTGGCGGTCAAACCTCGGGTCAAAAAGAGCACAGAGCAGAGTTGTGGGTATGTCCCGTCTCAGGGTAATTGAAGCTCTTGAATATTGGGTGAGTTCAGCATACAGGGAAATAGGAATTTAACATCTGCTATAAAATAAACTTATTTAAATGTCACAACTGATCTAAATACTAATAAACCACGCAGGGAAATGATGGAACAATTCAATTTCTACTTCAAACGATATAATGCGGATCGTCCTTTGTAAGAATTGTATTGCACTCATGAAAGTTGTAATATTCCACGGGTATTAGTCATATATGAACTCTATCCACCTAAAAAAATTACTGCTGTTCTGTGACCTCGGCTGTGACTTCATGGCAATACTAAAATAATAATAATAATAAAAATAAGAGTTTTAGTTAACTACATTTTTCATTCCATATCTTCCTTTGCTATCACATACATGTACATACATAACAAATGGTAATTTAAAAGAATTTTTGTGTGCACATAGTACAGTTTTGTTCCTTTACAGAGCGATGCAAGAACGATTAAGTGGAGAGCCGGTTGGAATGGTGGACGACAGTTTAGAAAATGATGTGTTCATGACCATTTGGGTATCATTTGCGGAAATTTATAATGAAAACATTTACGATTTATTGAAACCCGAGCCGTGCAGAGGGCAACAGAGACAAAAGCTTCGAATAGGAACCAGAAATGGTAGTACTTTCATTAAAGGACTTACAGCGGTTAGTGTGTCTTCGGGACTAGAGGCCTATTTAATATTGCAGTATGGGCTTCATAATTTAAGCTATGCAGCGACAGCCTTAAATGAGCATTCCAGCCGTTCTCATTGCATATTTACATTGCAGTTGGTTCAAGCATCTAACATAAAGAAGGGAATCCATGTGAGCGTGTTCAATTTTTGTGATTTGGCAGGCTCTGAACGTAGCAAAAAGACGAATAACGCGGGAGACAGACTAAAAGAATCGAACAGCATCAATACATCCCTTTTGGTTTTGGGAAGATGTCTAAAATTAATACGAGATAATCAAAAATCTAAAGATAACAAAATGATACCGTTTCGTGAATCAAAATTAACGCAACTATTTCAACATGCATTGTTGGGTAACGAAGCGGTTTCAATGATGGTCAACATTAATCCGGCACGCGAAATGTTCGATGAAACCCAGCATACCTTAAATTTCGCAGCTATTGCTAAAAATATTTGTGTTGAACCACAAAAAATCAAAACCGACGATAAAAGGCTGTCTCAATTTATGCAACAAGATAGTGGTTTTCCTAAGGATAACGCTACTAGAGTGGAACTGGAAAATCAGATATCCCTTTTAACTGATGAATGGCACAAACAAAAAGAAAGGTTTAAGGAGGAAAAAAGTAATTTCGTACTATATTATCAAAGAGTGCTGGCAGAGACGAATAAAATAGGAGAAGAACGATATCATAAATTGAAGAATTTACTAAATGACATTTTGGAAGATGAACAAGCTGAAATTGAAAAAAAAAGATCTCGCATGTCAGTTATTGTAATAGATAGTTCCTCAGATGAAGACGAAGAGGAAGAATATGATGAAATACTACTGTCAAAAATTGCGGATCTTCAAACTGAGTTAAAAGAAGTAAAGGCTAAAAAAGACGAGATATTATTAGAAAATAGTGAATTAGAAAAAATTGATTATAAAACTGAGTCCTTGTCAATGAAAGTAGAAATTGCCGCTTTGAAGTCGCATTTACTTAACATAAATGAGCAAATTAAAGAAACTAAGGCTTATGTAGAGTTTAAAGTGAAAAGTGCTGCCAACGAAGGTAGCGATGTTCCAAGCTGTTCTTCATCAACCATTCCTGTGGATATTGTACATGAAGACGTTTTGGAGGAGGAAAATGAATTTTACAATGAACAAAATAACCAAGTAGAGACAAGTATGGAAGACAGCGCTTTAGGAGATGATCTAGAATTCTTGTGGTCTGCAAAAGTGTGATATATTTGGTTTTCTGAAACTTTCTTAGTTATTTATTTGTAAAATATGTAAATGTGTAATTGTGTTGTTGAATTATAATATACTTACTATGTTTCACTGGTGTTGAATATTTAATCACTGTGATGTTATAGCAAAATTAAGGCAGGTCATAAATTAGTCATAAAAATGCTAAATGGTTACAACGGGTCTGGTATAAGATTTTGTTTTTCCAACTAAAGGGAGAGAAAAAACCAGGTTTGCCAATGCGACTGACGTTGGAATAAATTTCTGTCGTTAAAAATCAACAAAAATATGACTTTCAGTTTTTTTCTAAAATCACTCGCCCTCGGTAATGCTTAGGTAAAATTATATGTTCTATTCAAAATTGTAGTGTAAAAGCTCGTGTAAAAGTACATTTCATTTGATATTTTATTTGGACCTCTGGATAGTTTGTGAGATACAAAATAGGTAACAAGAAAGAATGTAGCCATGCTGCACGTATCTCAGCGTGCGACATAGAGGTACATATATTTTGATATTTGCTCACGTCGTCACGTTAATGCTTAAAATGTACTGTTTCAAAAAATTGTTGCAATGTGTCAGGAATAACTTTAAAAATATTAGTACAAAAAGTTATCGGCTGAGGGATAGTCTGAAGAATGGCCGTATACACTTGAGATCGTATGTCGTCAATATAATATCTGCACATGGTTTTATGTTTTTGAGCTGTTCTTTTAGTTTGATGCAATATCTTGTGCTCCTGTACATTTTACAGAAAAGACTCTGTTGGTTATGCTCTCGCGCACTTATCTCTGACACGCTCGCACTCGCTGGGATTTCCTATACCTAAATTTTTTAACTTCTGAGACGTCTGCCACTATTAAAGCTACACTTAATATCGCCTACTAGGATATATTTAAAGTAGTGACAAAAAGAGGAATTTTTTTATGTATAATTTTTATAGGGTCCTCATGGTTTAGTTCAGGGGTGTTTTTCCCTACATTGGAGGGCGTCTTTCGCTACCAACGCTGCACTTGAAATCGTCTGCCATAGCATATTTGAAAACTGGAAAAATGGGATTTCTTGATACAAATCTTTTCCGTGACCCTTATAGTTTGGTAATTTAGTTGATCACCTAAAGAAGTAACCTATTCAGCGCCGCCCCAAGTTAATGCTGCCACTTACGACTGGCAGACGAGTGATTTTATTATTAGTTTTCAATGTACTTTCAGCCTGTATTGTCGAATTTTTTGTCGCTTATGGTTTAGTTACTATGTACGCTGCCTCCCGGTCTAAAAGTAGACATAGGGAAAAACAATAGATTATGTGATGTACCCAGGCCAGTCCCGAGAGACTGCGCTACACAAGATTTAAATTCAAAACTTTCCCTCCCAAACTAACTGAACCCCATGGCACGTGATCGTCTAGACAAAGCTACCTAACTTGAATAACCGAATAATAGGACCATTTACTACGTTGTGTTTTTAAGAGTCGCTACAAGATAATGTGCTGCTTGTCGGAGTGAGGATCAAGTAAGGAATACAAATAAAACAAGTACATGCTTTCAAAACGAAGATTTAATCCAAATAATTAGCATTGCAAGATTAAATTTAGAAAATGGTAGTTCACCGAGTACAAATATGAAAATAGGCTGAGAAAAAAAAGAACTGACCAAGAAAAAACCCAGCCAACAAATTAATATTGAACTTTATAGCAAAATTAGTTATCTGTAATGGCATGAATGCATGTTGTCAAGTACAACAATACAATGTCGAATCCCAGACTCCACTGGAATTCCTAAAGAATAAATATTACACACACGTAACAAAAACAATCATTAAAACATTACAATAAATTCATATAATAGGTTTGGATATTGGATGGCCAGTCCAAATCCCACACCGAGTAGTCATTAGTTGCTCTGGTCATGACATGTCAACATTGTATGAAATCGCTAGGAGTTGGCCTCTCAGAAGAGCCTTTCACATAGGAAGGATATAGTTGTTTAACACAACCATAAGGTCACAACGAGAACACGCCACACGCTTTTAATGAATCCCTGCGCAAGTGAGGGCGGGCTTAGCCGCCAGCCCCATGTACGACTAGCGGGACCCCAACTCTTTCATTCATACATCTCTAGGGCCAGTCCAACCCACTAGTCTTAAAATGCCGGGTTATAAATTACCGAACTCCAGGCTCTCTACCATGAGTACTGACAATAACCGATCAAAAGACAAATCATGACATAACATAAATAACAGAGTAACCAACGGCAAACTCGCACGCATACCAAATTATAAACAAAATATACCTACACAATTTATGTACCTAGGTGTTGACAGTCGACATATTTGCACTGGCATAACAAAAACTGACACAAAACCAATATTCGGTCACTACATGACAGGGATCGACTAAACGAATTGATTAGCAATATCGGCAAGATGGCTCTTTTCAAAGACACAACAAAAAAACAGTACATAAAATATAGGTATACAGAGTGGTGACTTTCCTAACGCATCATAAGGATTTCAATGTAAAATTCATAACATGCGATTATTGGCTCCCCAAATTATTTTAGAGTAAAAATGCATTAAGGTTTTTTGTAGGGAAATAGTACATTATACTTATATCAAGGTAGAGAAGTCCACTATTACCTCGCGCCTCGAGATGTAATCTTGGTGCTCAGGCAATAATAGACTTCTCTACCGTGGTATATATACTATTTTTTTCACTACTAGCACTTGAAATCCTCTAAATTAACATATTATATACATACACATACACATAGAGGGTTAACGGTTGGACAGAATTGTTTGTTTCTCAATCAAGTACAAGTCAAACAGGCCGTATTTTGTTCTGTCATTGAGATTTTTCAAAGAGTAATTTCGTTCGAATTTTTTCAAAATGTGATAATTTTAGGTATGTAATTTCTCTGGAAATTGCGAATGGTGGCAATTATTCGTTTTAGAGAACTTGTCTAAACGTTCATTGAGCGAAATTTCGGGATGTGTTTTCTAAAAGTGACAGCGTGACAGTTCTCATTATTGACTAATAGTTAATAATGTCCACATTATTAACCACTTTGAACAAATGCCGAGAAAGCCTACTTTACAAGTGGAAAAAAGGTTAATAATCATGTCATCAGACGCTAGTAGTGAAAAAAAAAATTTTTTACGTCAATCAACCGTATTAGTTTTCAATTTTTTGCATAATAAAGACGGAAAATTGGAAAAATAAAACCCGCATCCTTTTCAATAATCTGCGATGCCATGGAATTTTCTAATACGAAAAGATATACAGTTAATTCCAGTTATCAATTAGCAGCAGTTCGAAATGGATTTTATGATCGACTTGGTTACTGTCTTGCAGTTAATGGTGACTTATTCGAACATTTATTGTAAATTATTATATTAGGAAACCGTTTTTAGTAATTTGGTCTTTCTTTATGTTGAATTCGCTGTTCTAAATATAATACTTTTTGATAGAATTTGATTTGTTTTATAGCAGACATTCCATGGCATGATGGATATTGGCGTAGTTTTGTATTATATAATTCCATGGCATCACAGATTATTGAAAAAGATAGGGGTTTTATTTTTCCAATTTTCCGTCTTTATTGTGAAAAACATTGAAAACTAATACGGTTGATTGACGTAAACAAAAATTTTCTACAAAAAACCTTAATACATTTTTGCTCTAAAATAATTTGGGGAGCCAATAATCGCATGTTATGAATTTTACATTGAAATCCCTATGATGCGTTACGCAAGTCACCACCCTGTATATCTCTGCGTGTGTCAGTTCTGAACTTTAGCCAGCCTCTGCTACGTCAAATCGAGACTATATATCGGTATCAAATATAGCACAGTACATATTCGAAACAAGTCACCCTGCCAAATATTAATAATCATAATCACCCGGTTCAAATAAATAGTAGGAGCATAATTTTATGTACTATCACATTACAACAATACAAAGGAACCTGTCGTGGCAAACATTGGTATCAAATAATTAATTCACAATGCCAAGTGCAATATGTACCTAACAATCAACCACCTAACGTACGTCACTCGCCCCCAGATGAGGCACCCTGTAAATACACAGTAGCATAATCAGGTAAACAAAAGCGAAATGTGCTGCAATAAATTCAATTATAAATTAAAAGGTATTTCTGCATATTCGTATTGGGTATCTCCCCTAAGGAACATACAGTATCTAAAGATAAACAAAAACACGTAAATCGGTCAGTAATTACCCAGTAGGTCCAGTATAATTAAAACTGCAATTTGTATCTGGAATGTGTTATAAATGGCAATAATCAATGCTGTACGAGAATAAAGTTAAATTGGCAAATAATCGAACACGATCATATCATTATTAGAGGGATGCAATAGACGTAGAGATAAATAAAACGAGTACATCACCTTTGTAATTGTCGAAGCTGCACTCACTATTCGCAACGTAAAGATTTACTTCTGGTCTCAACAAAAGCACACATACTTCTGCCGCATTCTCCCCCTTTTTTTGTTTAAACAAATCCTAGACGAAATTTGAACGTGCCCCGAGACGGGTCGATACGGATCATTAAGTTTCCTCGCATAGCGTAATATTTGACACTTTTATTGTAAATTATGGCCCATTTCAATGTAGAGCAGAGAAGAAAAAACACGTGTTCCACGAAAACGAAACAAAGCGCAATCTTGACCTTTTTCGTCGCGCCAGGTTCGGATTCGGGTATATTTAAATCGAATTTGCGCGGGCTAATACGGTTCCATCACAATATAGGCACATGCAAATCTCCAGGTCTACTTCTTAATAAATATCACTGTATAAATCTATATGTAAAAGAAGATTATGAAGAATCGCATATGATTTCCTGGGGGAGAATTTTTCGATGAAATTAGCAAATAACTTTTATCTTTACTTTGTTCATCTATAGGTATTTTCAATGGTATTACCTACTACCTTCGTCTGACACCGCAAATTCTTTACTCGCCAGTGCGCCGCCAGAATTATTGATTGATTGAAATATTAATAAAAGAAGATGTTGTCTTCCCCAATCAATTTATGCTTTAGAAGAGCGTATTTTTTGAGTTTTCTTGATCTCGCAAATT